CTAAGCTGATTTTATATTATCTGAAATGGAGTACAGAATGTGTAGCTTTCCATCACTTACTGAGGCTCTCGCAATGGGTTTTTTACAGATGGCACTGATACCAGCTGTGTTATTCACAACCAAAGGGTGTCTGAAATATTCTTGTGACGCTTGCTGCTCTCATGCTCTGCTCGGCTTTTGTGACTTGTTGAATAAGATTTTGGATCTGGCCATCAGTGATAAGCCCTCACAGGTCACAGCACAGGTTTTGCCACAGTGGAAAATATGGGCAATATCTCCTGTTCTGGATTTGCTCTCAACTCCTACTGAAATCAGTGGGAACTAGGGCAAGCAGTGAGCACGTGACTGAGGCCTGAAGAGGACTTGTGGGCTGAGATGACAGGTTGTTCCACCTGACTGTTCTTAAAGTTTCTGCTCTAAGCTTCAGTAGAGGCAGTATTTTTCTCTGAGTAATTCACGCCCATTTTCTGGCTATTTTCAGACTTTAAATGTCAGCTTTTCATAGAAAAGGCAAAACCGACTTGTCCGCTTGATGCCAAATAACAAAATTGACCTAAATTACAGTTATTATATTTGTAGTTTAAAACACATTCTTTTGTTATGTCTACAAAGCTGAAATATTTTAACTCAAGTTTTCTTTTTGCACAATGTGAAAGGTTACCTTCTGGATAAAACCTGTTAATAGCATCCATCCAAGGGATGAATTTTGGTTTGGCAAACTGTAAACTCTCTGATTTTTTGTCTCTGGACTCAATTGTATCCTTCAGAAGAAGGCTTACAGAATTCCATCTGCATCTGTTGCAAACTAACTCCATCACTTTCTAGTGAAGTGCAGCGATATACACAAGTGACTACCTAAAGCTGCTTTACCACTGCACAAACCATTTGGATGGTAAAGATACAATTACATAAATTAAGGTAAGAAAAAATCGCTAAGGTCATCTAATCCAACCATCAACCCATCCCCACCATGCTCGTTAACCATGGCCCTCAGTGCCATGTCTACACATTGCTCCAGGGATGGTGACTCCACCACCCCTCTGGGCAGCCTGTTGCAATGCAATACTAGCCTCACATCTCATGTATTTTGCTCCAAAGCAATCAGACTAGATTCTGAGAGCACTGAATTCCTACTTATATAACTTAATTGGTGTTCTCTTTTTGTTTTTTACAAAAGTATTTTTTCTATGTTAATTTTTTCCTTTTAGTGAGCTCATAGTATAAACAGTAACTTCCAGGAAGCAATTGTCTCGTCTTTCAATTTCTCTTCAAACTGAGCAAATTTCTGTTTGCTAAGTCAACCTGATTTACTAATTAACATCTGGATCTTATGTGCACGCTATACACACACACAATAATTCCACAATTATATTATATTAGCTATTTAAGAGCTCATCTAATTGTACTCTATACATAATCCCTGAAAATGAGATTTGCATAAAGTAATTTAAAATAGTCAGGCAAACTAGAAGTATATAATTATGTGTCGCTCTGAAATAAATGCATTTTCAATTTTCAATTTCCATAACTGACTTGATTGGAACACAATTTAGACTCTGAATATCTGAATAAATAACAAAATGACAGTAATCTACAGTTCTGTATGTGCTTACATGGAGTTTACAGACAAGATCTGCTTTGTTACACTTACTGGATTACCTGTGGGGAGAGCAAACCTTGATAACATTGAAATGATCTTTGTGTAGGAGCTGTGGGAAAGGATGAAGGTGAGAAGCACTCTCCATTTTAGCCTCCTAAACAATTAACCTATAAGATGTTCCTGTCAATCACAGAATCACAGAATGGCCCATGTTGGAAGGGACCTCAAGGATCACGAATCTCCAACCCCCCTGCCACATGCAGGGCCACCAACCTCCACATTTAATACCAGACCAGGCTGCCAAAGCCCCATCCAACCTGGCCTTGAACGCCTCCCGGGAGGGGGCATAAAGATTTCTACAACTTCCAGGGTGGAGAATGTAGGCTCCTAAGTTCTTTACATTTGAACTAAATGTTATGCTTGTGGTCATATGAAGTCTACAATGCAGATATCCCCCTAATCTCCAAAGTGAACTTCTTTCTTGGACTTAGCTTATGACATTATTCATAGAGATTTTAATAATCCTTCACAGTTCAGAATTTATGAATTTACATGACAAAATATTCCACATATAATGAGGTAAATACACTCCTTTGCTTTCTCTATTAAATTCCTGCATGTTGTAGATAATAATGCTTTCATAGTCTTGGAATTGCCAGTCAGTATACACACTGTTCTGTATCCATATTACTAGCAACATACATTATCATGTATGATAATTTTATTGTGTTTGCTGATAATTGTTGTATATGTCCAACTCAGGGAGTTTAGTGACTGCACAGAAATCTTTGCATGAAGAAAAAGAAATAGGATCCTTTCCACAAGACTGTAGAGCTGTTAAATGTGTAAAGATAAGCATCATAGATCAGGAGGCTGAATCCATTCCCGAAGCTGATAGCACGCATTCTGACTGTTAAACATAATCAGCCATATTATATACTGACCAAGAAGGCTGTACTGATGAATTTTCTACTTGGATGACCAATACTGTCTGAGAAGCTGAGTAACAGCTAATTATTTTAATACTAATAACAGTCATATATTTTTGCATTTGTTTGATGTTCCTGAAAATTACAGAGCTATGCTTAAATATGTTGTTCAAATTTTTATTATCGCATTGAGCTCTTTACTTGGAGGCTCTTAAAGAAAACAAAACCAACCTCAGTCCCATCATTCAAAGATGAATATATCAGATAGTACATTGATGATGACTCTATGCTGGGAATTAGAAGGACTCCAGCCAGCAAAGGAATAAGATTCTAGAGCACTTTTCCGCAAGAGCTATCAGGAAAAGAAATTCAAGTCAATTAGTTTTGAAATGACATTGATAAATTAATGAAAGGAACTGGATGATGCACAGACATCTGCAGTACCAGAACTCAACAGAACACCAGGTAATCCCTTGAATTATGGAAAGCTGTCAGGAATTCTAACATTAAGACAGCATTATGAGTGAGTGGAAGGAGAGGTATCAGACAGAAATCCATTATGTCACCAGGAGTGATTTTATAAAATGTCTGGACAGCATGGAAGCCTGTAGGTATACTGTTCTAAGTTAGATGTCTCAGAATGGGAGATGCTCAGAAGGAAATGAAAGCAACTTCTGGAAATTTATTTGAGTGTCACCGTGAACAAATAACAAAATGTGGATAGCTCATGCTTGAGAAAAATGGCCAGAGTGAGCAGTTCAGGAGCAGTGCATAAACTCCAATATCGTTGCCTAAAGAACTCACTGAATAACACTGAATAATAGGCCAACACATAAAAATCAGAACGTTCACAGATAAATTTCAATAGTAAAAAGAAGCAAAACAAATAGGGAAAAGGCTAAGTTACCAGAGAAAAGAGTAAATACTTTATTGCAAATAACCTTCCCACCTCTAATGAAGAGAGTTTGCTCTAGCAGCAGACAGAATAAGGGCTGTGATGATAGATAATGTCTTCATCATTTATGGCTGTGAGGTCATTCTCCTCAATAGCTGATTTTTACCCACCACTAAAATGAAAATGCTACCTTAAAGTCATTTTAGATTACATTGAATGTAAAACCCAAATAAAAGCTAGGTCATGCAAAGAGGACGGGACCAAGCCATCAGCTGAGGGGTCTCCTGTTGAGTTCTGGGCAGCATGGGAGGGACACAGTGAGCCCCCCTGCTCCCATGACTGCTGCAGCTGCAGCTCTGCCTCAGCTCTTAAGTGTAATTCCAATTTGACAGCTTGCATGGGTGTGAATACATTTAAGTAAAAAAGAATCCCTGCCAACCTTAGATGAATTAAACAGCTGTGACACACACTGGGCCAGATTCTCTAATGTACCACACCAATTTACAGTGTTGTGACTGTTAACCAGAATCCCAGTTCATTTTTTATGTCGTGTTTAACAAAGCTGTATACAGACACAGATTGCTATAGATGTTAAATTTTGTTTGAGGTCACTGTTTGCAGTGGATTTTCACATAATGTTTTGAAATTGGTAACTTGAAATGAGGGTAGTGTTTGCAATTGAGGGCATGTTTGCATTTGTTGTGTCAGATTCCACTGTTTTTCTTTAAGAGAGTTTTCTGATATGTCCTGATTTATAAAACTTCAAGGCAGAGTCAGTGATTTTCTAACTAATCCTTCTGGCTCTCAGTTAACATCTCAGTTCTCCCATGGTAAACATAAAAACTTACTTTCATAAAAAATCATAGAATCCTAGAATTTGGCCTGGGTTGAAAAGGACCACAAAGATCATCAAGTTTCAACCCCCCTGCTATGTGCAGGGTCGCCAACCACCAGACCAGGCTGCCCAGAGCCACATCCAGCCTGGCCTTGAATGCCTCCAGGGATGGGGCATCCACAACCTCCTTGGGCAACCTGTTCCAGTGTGTCACCACTCTCTGTGTGAAGAACTTCCTCCTAATATCTAACCTAAACCTCCCCTGTCTCATTTTAAAACCATTCTCCCTTGTCCTATCGCTATCCACCCTTGTAAACAGTCGCTCCCCTTTCTGTTTATACACTCCCCTCAAGTACTGGAAGGCCACAATGAGTTCTCCCCAGAGCCTTTTCTTCTCTAAGATAAGGCTTGTACCACTGTCTTAGCTCTTGATTCTACATTTTTATCCATTTGCCTGCGGAAGGGGAAAAAATGGGTTAAATCTCTGCAACAAATAACAATTTGTATAATGCTTCTGCCAAAGCCTGCAGAATCAGAAATATCTGTCTGTCACTTGTTTGCCGAATCAAATATTTCAGAGGAAAGGTAATATGTTTGGCTTATATTTTCAAATGTCACTATTCAATAGAAAATGTCATCTTTTCAGCAGGAACATGGAACTTAACAATATCATAATGAAACTGCAGTGAACTTCTGGCTGTGAATTTGACCTACCTGTGGTTCATTCTTCATTCCTCCGAAGAAATTCTTTAGCCTTAAGGAACACAAAGGTTATTTGAGCCAGCCTGGGATGCAGAGTGACTCATCGCAGGCAGCACCACTGCTCTTTGGTTGAGGGAATGAACCACTGTGGTCCCAGTGGCATAGCAAATAGTAAAATCTGAAAAAAAAAAAAGTACGATCTGAGATGAAATTGCTGTTCTGTAAATGTGGTGCTAGTTTGATCAGATATTTTCTAGCAGATGAAGAAGAATTGTTAGGAAGGTATGAGAGAAACAGCTGTGTTAAAAATGGCATCTTTTCATTCAACAACTTCTGCTCCTCCGGGTGAAGGACTGTGCTCGTTAGCCTTTTCGGACTGGGTGGGATTTTGAAGCAAAGTGCCTGAAGCTCTGGTTGGAGAACTGTGCAGCTTTTTATCTTGTCTGCACATCCACCTTCTTCCTCACTCCAGTAAAAAGATATGCTTTTTACCATCTCTGGCAGCCAAAACAAAGGAGTGATGCTTGCATTTTGTGAGTATGCACTTTCCAAGAAATCAGCATCACTGGATATGCAAAAAAATGTTCTCCAAATGTATAAAGAGGCTCACATTATGTTTATTCACTTGAAAGACAGTCCCATGAAAAGTGTATTTTGTGTGTTAGGTACTATCAATAAACCTGTTTCAGTTGTTGAGCGCTGATATAATCTTCGTACTCCGGCTTAAATTTTACATGCAAAGGGCTGATAAAAACACTTTTAAATGAATGCTTTTTAAAAAGACCTCAAGTGAGAGGTTTGAGAGACAAGGAGCACTAAGAAGAGAATAATAGTGCCATTTTAAGGAGATTTGAGAACACAATCACATTTATACCCCATCTTTATGAAGTGTAAGCCAAGAATAACAGCCTTGCTCTTTGTCTGTCTCTAAACACAAACCATTGCTCTTCCAGAACTGTTTTCTTCCTCTGGCTGACAAAAGCATTTTCATAGCTGAACAGCAAACTATTTTGAATTAATCTAAATTAAAACTAATCATTACTGTTTTTTTCTCTCAAGTTAACTTCGAAGTGGACTTGTTCTCCCATTTAGTTCATTGCTTGGCGATGCTGGCAGCAGCCAGGGAGCAACAGAGGGACAAGAGCAAACATCTGGTAACAGGGAGAGGGCAGGGCTGTTCTTTCTGGCAGCAGCACTGAACTGCTTACAGAATTGCAGTGTTAAAACATCCCATCCCAACTGTATTTCTGCTTATGCTAACACAACCAAAGCAGATCAAGCTGCACTGAGTGGGAGGCTGAGACAAGGCAATCAAAAACCGCACAGTTCCAGGGGCTGGAGTGTTCATTAGTAGTGAGGTCTTGAGTAGTAAATAGAGAATTTAAAAGCCAATGGTGGTGCAATCAGTAGCACAGCTTTTGTGAAGGGCTGTGGAGACCAAACCCAGATTTGTGCTGCAGCTGGCTAGCACGGCACTGCGACACAAAGCAGCTCTAAAGCCGGGGTAGCCAATTAATGCAGAGAATCGGCACAGCATGTCTTATGCCACTGCTCTCCTGGCAGCTGGTATTTGTCTCCCACAGTCAGCTCATGCCTGATCTGTGACTGCCTCAACTGTCCTCGGGGCTCTTATTTGTTGGTACAACCGCAGCTCGGTATATCTCATTTAAAATTGCCATAAGTATGGAGTGTGTGTGAGCGCTTGCACCTCCAGGCTGCTCTGGCTCTCTGCTCAAGCTGTGCACTGTTTGCTGCGTGATTTTTTTCTGTTTCCAATATGTCCCCTAACAAAGGGAAGTAAGAAAAATACTTTCCAGTAAAAAAAAAAATTCCTTTTGTTTGTGCATACTGCAGTGCTTGCTCAGTGATACTTTAAAATGCATATTTGATGGAAATGAAAAATGGTGTGTGATTTGGAATATGCCAAGTGCTTGATAGCTACATGGATAATGTTACAGTGTGCAGAACGCCCAGGTCCTAGGGCTCTCTTGGCAGGACAGGACACATACCTTGATGTAGAGGAATTGTAGGAACAAGAACACAGTAATGCTGTCTTTTTCCATGAACGTATAATACCAATCACATGATGCAAAAGTCACCATTGTGTGACTTTTTTTCATGCTTTTTCAGCCAAGAAGATGAGAACTGCACAACTGACATTTCTTGCATGGCCACTCATGGGATGAGATCTGCGTTCACACAAGGCAGTGGCCTGGTAGAAAGCCCAGTGCGTGGATGAGAGCAACGCCGCTGTGGTGACCTGAGAGAAGAGTCATGGGGCTGTGAGAGGTGTGAGCTCTGGGATTCACCACCAAACTCCCCAGATGCTGTCCTGAGTGCAGCCTGCTCACACCAGTGGGTTTTCAGGAAAAGGAGGAGACTTGAGACTGGTGAGCTATTCCATCTCCTTCTGCAGCACCAGGGAACAGTGAGAATTTATAACACAGGACGACCTGAGTATTTTAATTACCCTTGCATTCATTTAGGTCTCCAATGTTAAGAGAAGGATATTTCTTGGAACTGGAAGCACCTAAATACTCTGACCTGCAAACCACAAAGACGCAGTGCGTCCCTGACCACAGAGCTGAGCAGCAGTCTTTACACTTGAAAATTTGTTACTGAACTCACATTCTGTAAAAAAAAAAAAAATTAATTTACAGAAGAGACATGTCATATATTTTTGCTCATACTGATGGTGATTCTGGGTTCATGAAATACACAGAAAGCTCGAGGTGCTCTTGATGTAATTTCCATGCTGGAGGGAACAGTGAAAGTGAAAAACCTTTGCATGTCCCCTCTCACAGCCACAGAATCAAATTATGCATTCAGGAAGAAATATGTGCAGTTTCCTTTGCTGATACAACTTTTAATCATATCTGTGCACATGAGAAGACTTTGAAAATATTCCAAACTTTTAACTTTGGATTTCCTCAAGTCTATTTGCAGGAAATAAATTTTTAAGGCTACAGACCCCCATTTCTCCAGAAATTCTTTGTAGTTAAGATTTACCAATGTCCTTGTCTACTATTCTTTTTACACATTTCTATTCGTTCAGCTTTCCTACTCATCTGTCAGAAACAATTAAATCACTGGATTTTTCATTGTTTGAAATAACTGGTTGCATTACCATCTGGAAACAATACATTTTAAGTGCATAATTATGGATGTTTGAAATCCCAGGAACCCAACTTTATATGCACAGGACCAGGAGGCAGCACGCTCAGAACTGTATTGTCAGCTGTGTGACAAACAGCGAAGAGAGAAGGAAGAACAATTCCCAACCACTTCTCTGCTGCCTTCCCTCCAGCGGCCTGAGGAAGCTAACGTCAGGTTCACCTGCAGAGCAAATGAGAACACTTCAGATTGCTGTTATTTGTGTCAAATTTTGGTAATTGCAGTGGGATGAGGGGGCTCCAGCGGCGGTGGCTTCTCAAGTCTTTGTCCTTCGTCGAGTGCAATTCCTCTATGAGGATGAAAAATCAACTTTGTGGTCATTTCCAGGAAGCGCGAGGAAGCAAAGCACGCTGTCTGGTAGGACTGCTAAGCGTAACTATTTGCTGCACGTAACTTCCCAGTGGAAGGTGGTTTGAGATTCTGAAACAGAAGTTGAATTTTTACAAAACTACAGCTTAAAGATATGATAGCCAGCTCCTCACTAAAACATTGGCTGTTAGTTAATCTCAGTCCAAATGGCTGACTCCATCCTCTTTACTGCTCCATCTTTTTACACGACTTCTTCTACGGTATCATGATATATTCACTCATCACAATGCATCCTAATTGAAAAGAACCAGACCCTGCAGCTTCACTACAGGCTGCAGGCCCAGACCAGAGGAATAACATCAGCGTGTATATGTCCCTTAGACTGACTGACAAAACACTATCTAGCAACTAAAAAAATAAAATAAAAATTTAAAAAAGTACAAACCCTGCATACAGACCCAAACATTTCATCTGATGTAGAATCATAGAATCATAGAATCACCAAGGTTGGAAAAGACCTAAAAGATCACCCAGTCCAACCATTCACCTATTCCCAATAGCTCCTACTAAACCATGTCCCTCAACACAACATCCAGCCTTTCCTTGAACACCCCCAGGCTCGGTGACTCCACCACCTCCTTGGGCAGTCCATTCCAGTGCCTGACCACCCTTTCTGAAAAGTAATACTTCCTCATGTCCAGTAAACTCTGTTGCTGATTTCATAATTTTTTCATTCCCACTTGCTCATAATCTTTGTACTTTTTTTTTTTTTTTTCAAGTATCACTGTATACTAAAAGACTTGTAGCTCCCAGCCATTACCACTTCTAGCTCCCAGTCTCCCTACCATTCATCTCAGAACTTCTCACCTGGCTGACCTGAGAGCACAAGGGACAGCTGCTCAAACTAATTATGAACTCCTTGAGATCTCTCTGGCAGCAGTACGCTGAATTTGTTGTCTCCATAGGAGATGTAGACAGCTTAGAAGCACAGGGAGAAAAGATCCACAGGAAATGGATTGGATACTGCACAAAGTGGTTAAGAGCAACATTTTACAAAGGAAAAAAATGGAGGTGGTACATTCTGCGAATCAGACTTCCTGTAGTGGCAGCCACAGCAGACCAAGCCCTTAGCTGGATACACAACCTTGCTCAGCTGTACAGCCTCTGTGCCATTTAAGAGATGGCAGGGAAAGAAAGTTATTTTTTGTTTGCACTTCAGTTGTGTATTACAAAACTCCCGGGCAGTTTCAAGACCCAGTGTGCTAGGTATTGACCACACATATATCCAAAACCACTTCTAACCTCGATTTTTTTGCTGTCTCACAAGTATCTATCGCTTAGCAAGTTGACCTGTTAAGGGGTGGTAGTTTTCTGGAGGCTCCATAAAAGAAATAACTCTTAGGGTGGCTGTAGCTTAGAATAACAGTGACCTCATAGGTATTAGCCAGAGAGGGTTCCTGCCTCTTCTTCACACAGACAAAACAACAGTGATTAAAGGAAAAAAAAAAAGGTATTTTGTCATCAAAATGCAAATGTACAAATGTCCTTGAATGGCCAAAGAACGTATTTAAGAGATTCTAAATCCTACTTTTCTGTGTTTGGAGGGACAGTGAAGATATAAGTGAGGAAACAGTATCCTCTAGGCTTCAAGAGTTTCTTTCCTATACTCTCCAGAGTTGATGTACGATTTGCCTCTTTGCTTCTAAATACGAAAAGAAGTAAATCAGATCTTAATGCATCTGATTATCCTTTTTTTTTTTGGTAATGGAATCAGTACAAGTTGGCTAAGGAGAAAAGCTCAAACCTCAGGCCTTCACACCGGTAAACACCTGCTTGATTAAAAGAGCTTTTCTTTAATCAACAAATTAAAATCCATGTGAATAAGTTTATCCCCACTGAATTTATTTTTCCGTTGCCGAATCAGTTTGTTTCAAGACAATACACAATGTCTTTTCTAGGTATTTTTGTGATATAGATATTATTTTTCTTTGAACTACAGTTCAAAATGCACGTGTAAAAATCAAAAGCTTACTAAAAATGCACAAGTGCTATAGCGCTTCATATAATTCCCCCCACATCTCAGTTTGGCACGACCTGCAGTCACATACAGACATGTCGAACTGTGCAAGGGGAGGACAGTTAATTGAAGAATAATGTAAGACTTGGCAAGAGGATCTTGACATAGCTATTGGAAAGACACTAACACACAGCATCAAAAAATAATGTAGCTCCAACCACCTGAAAATAAGAAATTTCTACTCCAGGAAAGCACAGCACTGTACAGTCCCAAGCACCTTGTGGAAGAACGAATGGGCTGTACACTCCTGTGCACTGAGAAAGAGCATTTCCAACTCCTCAGAACTCCGTATGTCTTACTGCATGATGACTGATGCTCTGCACTGCACTGACCCTTGAGAAGATACTGCTGAAAGCTGTGCACACTGACAGATATTTTAAAATATTTGTTAACATGCCACACATTTTCTTAAATGAACATGAAGAAAAGCATTTCTGATGTGGGATAAATGGTCAAACTGGATAAACATTTCTTTTCTTCTTTGAATTAAATAAACAGAATTTATTGGCTTATTATACACTGGCTGAGATACACACAGTAAAGAATGAGATTAAATAGCTTTTCATTTGGTGCATTGTTTATGTATTCAGCCCTGATGATAATGTTCCCAAAGACAATCAATCATTGATTTTAATTTACTTTATTGTGTTAAAGAAAAGAGTGAATTAAATGTAGAATTTGCTCAGCCTTTCTCTTGCATTCTGTAATAATCCAGATGGAGCATATACATTTTTATTTAGCGGCGCTAGCATGATTAAGAAATAAGATTTAATGAGCAGTACATTTTTAGGTCTCATTAATAAAGGTTACAGATAGAAAAAGATCTATTGGTCATCACATTTCCTTCTTCACTGTGTTTGCAGGTCCACTATATGCTTAATGATGATGTATTATCCATTTATACAGACCTGCTTGTGTGAGAGAGACCACAGCTGAGGGACACTAACTAACTCTAAACTTAGTGAGATCTTTCTATCCCTAAACGGCACAGTCTGAGATGTAGAAGTCTCTGTGCATGGCACAGACAGGGTCTGGAGCAGATGGATGAAGGGAGTTGACAGCTGAGGAGAGCAAGGCAGGAATAATTCATGGAAGAAGTGGGTTTGACAGAAGGAAGAAATATATGTGAAAGAGGAACAGGATAATGCTGCGACAAGAAATAGAAGAGCGGCTTCAAAACAAGGAGATATACAGCAAGAAGCTCACAGAGAAAAAGCAAAGGGTCTGGAGAGGGGGTTATACTGACTCAACTGCGTTATTAATTTGTTGCCCTGCAAGGATGATAAATAACACCCGGCTTTAGACTTGGATATTTCCTAGCTAGAAATGGACAACTACTACATTGCAGCTGTGATGCAGGTAGGGACATGGCCTGGGAGTGCATTTTGAAACAAAAACAACCAAAAAACTAATAGATGTTTTGTCTCTTAAAAATACTACTTAATATTCCATAGAATGGGGGATATTCCAGAGAACCCTGCACATGCAGTCTGATCTCAAAGGGAAAAAAAAATAAGCTCTGTAGGTATTCCCTTCTTATGACAAAAAGTCATAAGCAGAAAGACCATGCAGTAGCATAATAATGTATAGTGAAGGGTAATACAAAATGCACAAGCAGCAGAAAGGAAAGGCTGTAAATTGCACCTAGACTGTACTGCATGTTTCCATTCTTAATGATTAAATGAATTCATGTTATCTGTGTTACACACCTCCATCTTTACCCCCAGCATATGTACTGCCAAGCCATCACTTTTGGTCCTTTTAAGCTCAGAGTGATTCTTGTCCTGTTCTAGAGTGTTGAATAATGATGGAACGAAAATGGAGCATTCATAGTAGAAAGGCTTTTTTTTTTTTTTAATATCACATATAGCTTTCTATATAACTGCAAGTTTTCTCTCCACTCAATATATTTCAATGAACTTGATCCCACTGCCTCCTCTTAAATTAAAATAAACACGCTTACTTCTACAGTTGCTGTTTTTCACAGTGCTTCCCTCTGGCACAGTCACGAGCCACAGGGCCATAGCACTGAGGATGTTGATGGTTGACTGCACTGCTTTACAATTTATGCTTTACATTGCCTCCCTTGTAAATTGTACATGATTAAATTATGAGTGTAAAAGTTGTATTAAATTGTTATTTTCCTGTTGAAGGAATCAGACAGTTTCTCTGCTGCCAAACTTGAACCTCCACCAGCAATCCATGCCTGGATTTACATTTTTAATTTAAAAAACATAGCTTTATCTTCGCTGCAATGTCTGCCATCAGTACTCAGCTGCCTCATCAGCAAAATACCATAAAATGGCCATTTTGAATTTGTAACAGGAGCATAACCACACTGAGTCCTATTCTATTCTATTCTCTAAGCACCTTTGGAGCACCCCAAACTGGTGGCACAGCTTCTGACTCAATGGGCACGTTGCTTCCTAAAGGCTTCTCTTAACTGCTCTGTGATCCAAGGGGTGGAACACTTCTCCTACTAGGACAGCACTGAGAGAGTTGGGTAGAGATGATAGCAGCCTTTCAGTATCTAAAGGGGGCTCTAAGAAAGAAGGGGACAGATTCTTTTGCAGAGTCTGTTGTAACAGAACAAGGGGAAATGGTTCCAAACTAAAAGAGATTTAGTTCGGATATGAAAAGGAAAAGTTTTTTATAACAAGGGTGATGAGGCACTCACACAGGTTGCCCGAAAGGGGCGAATACCCCATCTCTGGAGACATTTAAGGTCAGGCTGGACTGGGCTCTGAGCAATATGATGTAGCTGTAGGTGTATCTGTTCATTGCATGGGTGTTGGACTAGATGGCCTTTAAGGGTGCCTTTCAACTCAAACAGTTCTGTGTTTCCCTGTTACAACATCCTAACCCACTTCACTGGGAGTGAGTGAAATATCACACAAACGTCCTGGACTTGCCCAGAAATGCTGGGTATGGCAGCAGCCATGTCATGGTGGGCATCAGCAGTTGTTGTATCCTATCTCCTGAAATTACCACACGCTGATGGACAGTCCTTAGTTTATTGCAGTAGTACCAAGAGGCCCCAGTCACATATTGGTGGTCCCCAGTGACCACAGTGGGTGATATACAAACGCGTTTAATTAAAAGTTGTCAGCAAATGTGTGGGCAAAGAAGGGGGAATTCTTTCAGTTACAGCTCTTAAATTTGCCAAGCCACCTTCAGACAGAAACTGGGTCAACACAAGGGAGTAACTGAGAACCAAACAATACTTCCCGATAAAAACAAGTGCTTTCTCTAATAAAGCATACCAACACCAAGTAGGGAAAATGTCTGTATTCATTAATTTGACACAGTGATCCAAGATCCGTGAATTTAATCATTCAAAACACTTTTGCACGATGCCTGAAAAATTGTGTTTATATAGATCTTTAACAGACTAACATTTTTAATCTTTGCTTAATTAGGTTCTTACCTCCTCTCCATTGCAAAGTGGTTTTAGTAGCGGGAAAATGTGTTTTAATCTAGTGTTCTCTATTTTTTATTCTCATTTTATATTTTTTTTCATCTGTTTTCAACAGCTTCCTTAAAAACTAGTTATTTACTGATTCCATTCCCTTTCCCCTTTGCACGTCCAGGATCTTGAGTAACGGCTCATCGTTTCCTTGTGGGCAGGTAACAAAGTCCTTCCATAGATTATGAGAGCAATGAAAATCCTGACGAGCTGCAGTAACCATGTGATAGTTATTGTCCTGTGTTTGATGGTAGAATTTCATCACATCCTGGCTCAGAAACTGGAGCTAACTGGAACATTCTTCCCTTTTAGGTATATATACGAGTATTTAACTAGCAAAAAAAATCTGATGGGATCTGATCTCAAACAGCAAGGAGAATCATTTCATATTTTGATGCACTGCTTCACAGAAATAAAAAGACTAAAAAAAAGAAAATAGAAAAATGAAGGAAAAAAAAAGTGCAAAAAAGAGAAACCGAATCAGTCTGTACTTTTGGGCATAGCACTGTAGTGGGAAAGTAGAAGAATTCAATAGACAGAACAGGTTTTCTTGTTGCTGGTAGCAGCACTGAGTCATAAAAATGTTAGTTTATTGGTTTCACCATTGCCAATTTAGGGAGCTGGTAGAATGTGCAATACATAATTCTTCGTACATTTCAAGGTGAATTGAAAAATGAGAGTGAAGAGAAATGGGAAAAGAAGCGAGGAGAAATGTTACGGCCAGTGGCAAAGCTACTGTGACAGAAGAGTATGTATGTGTTGTTCTCACTTACCGTCCTACCTCATAAGCAGGCCTTCATTCCTACTCTCCTTGCTTGTTCTTTGTAGTTATTTCTTCGTTACAAGTGAAGGAAATGATACCAGAAGTTGCAAATGCCCCCTGCCATAGTCCCTGCTATGATAAATTATGTATGTCATTATTTAGCCTACAACAGTAGCTAACAGTATCAGCCATAAATCAGGACCCTACTGTGCTAGCTGTACAGACACACAATAAAAGTAAATCCCTCTCCCAGTGTTTGCACTTGAGGTAAAATACCAAACGCTTGTTGCTGGGTTGCAAACCAAGTACAAATTCTGAGCAGTCCAGGAATAGGAATCTGCTTTCACGTCATTTGTGTGGCATCATTGAGGTGTGAAGCGCACACCTAAATAACAGCACATTTGCATCACAGGTTATGTCATCACTGGGAAACTGAGAAAGAAGCTGGGGCATCTGACACAGCATAGCACACTGTCCCAGCACCATCTGACAGAGATGTCATAAATCCTATTCAGCATCTGCTAAAACCAACCTCCTTCCCTTCCTCCCTTTTTCCCTCCTTCCCTCCCTTCTTCCCTTCCTCCCTTCCTCCCTTTCTCCCTCCCTTCCTTCCTCTTCTCCTGACTCCCCCCAAGGGCCCAAAATGATGAGTAGGGTTAGAGTTTAGGTAAAGGAGACCACAAAGAGTAAGATGGTGTTGAGTTGACATCACTCCCAAACAAGAAAAATAGAAAATAACAAACTCTGACAGATTAAAGGTTAAAAAACCCTGCAAGGCAGGACAATATAAGTCCGAGAAGAACTCTCCAGAAACTTTAATACTAAATCTTGTCCAAATACACAGGGAAGAGGAAGCTGACAAGATAGTCTGCATGGCTGAGAGGTGCTGAAGGCACACCATCGGAGCACAGAAAGAGAAGGAGAAGGCAGAAAAAAAATGATTTTGCATCCATTGTTGGCATGTGGGACTCTGCAATATGCAGGAGCTCAGGCCCACAGTAGAGCATGGTAGTAACAGCATCACAGCATTGTCTCAAATTGAAGTGTCAGTAGAAAAAGTTTTGGTCAGAGTGACATAATGAATAGCAACAAATCTCTAAGACTGGTGTTAGTGGAACTCAATTACGAAACAGCTGAAATAAGCATTGCAGGGTGTAACCTCTCACTTAAAATTGCCTCAGTGTCAGCAAATGTGATGAACTTCCTGGAGGTATCTGGGGAAAAATTGGGGAATAATACTGTACTGTACAAAATGCTGTAGCCCTTCACAGGATAAATGGGCATCCGGATAAACACAGAGAAACTTCCTATAATACCCAGGAACTCTGCTCAAAGACCAAGAACCCATTATGCCACGTAGTGTAAAAGCACAGAGCAAACAGATTGCTTCCAGCCCAAACAACAAGCAGGAAAATTACACACAGAGTGCCAGAGGAGACAGAGTAACACAAATAGACTTCAGCAGTTAGGTTTCTGAATGCTTACACTGAGGCTTATAAGTTAAGTGTTTAACATATGCAGGTCAAACCAGAAATGCTCAGGGAAGAAGAGACACTGGCAAAAGGATCATTCAGCTTCAGGAAAATGAACTAACTACAGGGCATGGCCAGGATGGTTCAGGTAAGTATGAAGTGCAAAAAGGAGACTAAGAACAGTGGAAAGGCAACAGGCACAAAGTGGAAAGCTCAATAAATCTGCTTGCCTTATTTTTAATAAAGTATTCTTACACTGGTGATTGGACATCCCAGGCACCATTCCTCTGGTTCTGAACTTACATTCATACTGAGATTCCAATCTGTAGATGTGAGAGCCCCACTTCATTGCAACTTACCTTTGATTCTTTGGTAGGATTTGGCATTCACCACGTTAGGGTTTCTTAATATTTAAAAACTTGTTAAAAATTAAGATTCCTTGTGTCCCGTTAAGACGAAAAACATTACATTATTTATGTAGCATAGTGATACTGCCATAACGTTATTTTCAGTACATTTTGGGAGGACTGCTGTGGTACTTAGGATCTGGTTCGCTGCATATGGTGAGGAGTCAACACTGAGACATACTCAGGAGCAGCTGATGTGAAAAGGGAAGGAATGCTTCAAAAACCTCTTCCAGTTCTGTAAAGGAATAAAGGGGAGGTGTGTGAACTTCTCAGATCTCCAGAAGATGTTTATAAAAATTCCCTTAAAGACCTCCTTGAAAACTAAACTGCCTTTGGGATATGAGGAAGGGTCTTCATAAAACTAACTGGATTACTGAAAGAAACAGCAAATGGTTAACAGTCTCAAAAGAGAGGAGTCCCCACTGGAGTCCCCATAAGGGACAAATGCTCAAGCTTATGTCATTTGCTACATTCATAAATCATTCCGAAATCCAATGAACAAAATTTTAAGTCATTCACAGAAGTAAAAATGAAGGCTGACCAAGAGGAGTTGCGGAAGACCTTCAAAATAATGCACAATACAGTGCCAAAGGAAATTCAATAAAGGCAAATGAGAAGTAATGCCAAAGGGGGGGGAAAAAAAAAAAAGAGGAACAATTCTAACTATGTAAAGCAAAGGAGAAGCTCTCAGACAGCTATCACCATTCAGGAATGGAACTTCAGAGTTAAAATAAATAGTTCTATAAAAATGTCAGCTCAGTGCCTCACAGTGGTAAAAGAAAAACAAGCAAAATTGACCAGCTGTTTGGAAAGAAGTAGGAAAAAGACAAAAAGGTGTATTAAAACATTAATATGGTAGGTGGTAATCCCAGTCCAAAGGATAGCAAAACAGGCTTGGAAAAGTGACATCATTCGGAACAGCAATGATGAAAAATAGACAATGGCTATCATGTACGGAACAATCAACCTGAATTCCTCAGAGTGGAAATAGAACAAAACTGAGGAGCATTTGAAAGAGATCTACAAAATGATAAGTCATAAAGAAAAGGTAAAAGCCCCTTACCACAAGTTCTTTTGGATATTAAGTATTGTTGAAATTCCTGTTACAGGACATTATGGATTCTGAGAGTTTCCAGAAAGATCTCAGAAAGATTAGATTGGTTTGTAGAAGACAAACATGTCAACGACGCATGAAACACAAAGATAGATCCTTGCATCAGAAAATCCCCATGATCCATACTGGAGGCTGGGAGTAAATTACTGATTACTAATTAAATTTAAGAATTCAGAACCAATTATTAATGCCAAAGTAATGAATGCTCACAGAATCACAGAATCGTTTGAGTTGGAAGGATCTCTTTAAGGCCATCTGGTCCAACCCCCCTGCATAAACACAAATATCTACAGCTACACCAGGTTGTTCAGAGCCCTGTCCAGCCTAACCTTGAGTGTCTCCAAGGATGGGCACCCACCGCCTCTCTGGACAACCTGTATGCCTCATCATTCTTATCGTGTGATTAGAACAATTCTTCTTTATATCCAATCTAAATCTCCCTTTTAGTTTGAAATCACTTCCACTTGTTCTATCACAGCAGACCCTGCTAAAGATTCTGTCCCCTTCCTTCTTATAGCTCCCCTTTAGATACTATCAGGCCACTATCAGGTCTCCTCGCAGCCTTCCCTTCTTCAGACAGAACAAGCTCAGCTCTCTCAGCCTGTCTTCATAGGGGATTTATCAGACATAATATTCAGCTCAATCCATATAGAAATTTACTATATTCAACTATGCATGCTCATAAACCGATAGTATAGGAGTCTACTTGCTGACATCCCCAGTAACTAACATCATTTCTGTGAGCTAATCCTAGTTTTGAAGTTGGTTCTAACAGAGCTCTGTGTTAGGGCAAAATTATAAGCTTGAATCAATACAACTAATTGAAGCTAAAGCCACTGGAGAATAGACAGTTATTTAACAATCTGAAAGCTGGAATTAGAGTTACAGTCATTCTCTAATTGCATTAGAAAAAACAGGTCCACAATGTACATGAGAAGAACTGCTCTCACTGAAAACTTAAGCATTCAGTATTATTGAAAGTAAACACAAATTAGGCTGACATTTGTCCATTGAATGTAAACATATGTACTTGGATCACTGCCTAAAAGCAGGAAGTGCATTCAGTTTTGCTTCACCCATGACAACACCCACTGATGCTTTACAAGGCACAGAACTAAACTTAACTAAGTAGCTGAAAAAATAAACCTGTGTAGTGCCAGTTCCTTAACAGGCAATTGCAAAGATGCTGTGAATAAACTGCCATGCCTGGAGATGGTCTCTCCAGCTGTAGAACATTTCTGCCACTATTAGGTTTACATGTTTATGTTGTACCAATTGCCCATATAAACACAGAATTTCTGTCTTTGTTTCTGCCAGAAACTGAACTCCTACACTCCAGCTCAGAGTCAGAGTATCTCTGAATGACTGTTAAGCTGTAAATGATGAAATGATGAAAAAAATGATGAAAAAAAGATGTAGACATGAACAGGTAGAGCAAGGGGCAAGCCAAAGAGGCATAGGCTTGGTGTCCATTAGTTGTATGATGGAAGGAGCGGAGCACTGTTGCTGGCTGTGCTGTGCTTCCTCCCAGGGAGGTTCCCCCCAAAGGAGGGGCATGGCATGGTGTGAGGGCAGAGCTGTCCCCTGGTGTTACTCCTGGCATTCCAGATCTATCAGTATAGATGATCACAAGGAGGCCTCAACACAACCAAGCAGGCGTACTGACAGAGCCATGCAGGCGCACATGATCTTGTGTTCAAAAGAAATATTTCAGAGTGATGTCACCTTCAAAACCAATCTTCCTTTTTCTTTCAGACACATCATTAATATAAGATTACAACAACACTAATACAAAGTTGTGCCTGTCTTTGAAATGCACACGTTCCTGTTACCTATGCAATCTGATTGGTTCACAGAAGCCTTGCCAGAGCAGAACAAGACATAAAAATGTTGCAAGACATCCACAGATTTATATTTAATATGTGAGGAGATGGCATCTGCAAGCCTCCAAAATGCCAGGCTTCAAGGTCAAAGCAACATAGCCACCACACGTAACACACTGTGCCCACAAAGAGGCAGTGTTACACCGGCCAAAATGTAACAGGTAGGAAGATGGTAAGCATACACCCTAAGCATCCTGAGCAAAGTCAACAGAGGCATCTGCGGAAAACTTATAATCAGAAAGAACATAACCCCAAAAAGCAAAATACTGTCCTTTCAGTAAATAAGTCTTGTGTCAAAGTGAAGCAGTGCTGACGTGGGGGCAGGCAGAAGCAGCTTGCCATCCAGCAGCAGGGTTACAGAGAAGTGTTGCTCTGTGCCTTGGGCTTTCTACTGAGTCTTTAGGGGCTCTTATGTGCCTAATTAAAGAAGATTACAAAAGATACCAAGATGGGAACACTCTTCTAGGCAGGCTTAAGCAGAGGAGGAGAACTAATAAAAAAAAGAAAAGGAGATTGCTGTTGATGTCTTCCTAAGCCACAATCCTGAGAGTCTGAACTGGATGCAATCTGTCCTTTTGTTTCTACATTTTCTTTTCTGCCAAATCACAGGAGAAAGTTAATGGCAAACGAGATCATCTGTTTCTTCCAAATGGTTCGTGGAATACTTTAAAAATTGGCAGACTGGAACCATTTCAAGCCAGAAGGAAAATATTCATGTACCCACACATCAAAGTGTTTCTAAAGACTGAGCATACGTAGTTCTGAGCATTTCTCAGGTGAACAAAGCAGAAATGCATCTCTAAGAGGCTGCTTACAACAGAACAGGCAGCAGGTTACAGACCACAAAACTGGCTGATCAAATGAAAATGGTGCCTGACTTCAGAGCTAAATCAAAAGCAAAAGGGGTTCTTTGGGTATAGAGCAAAAGGAAAATTAGATGGGGAAATTAATGGGACTATAAACAGCAGAAACTTAATTCTTCCAAGAGTCAGAGTAAGAAACAGCAATGCAGCGAAGAGAAAAGGAAAAGGAAAAGGAAATAAGAGAAAATAAGAAGAAAAAAAAAAGAAGAGAAGAGAAAAGGAAAAGAAGAAGAAAGAGGGAATACTAAATAGCTATTTGAAAGAGAATTTGTTGTTTCAAACTCAAAGCGTTGCAAAGTACCTGCCAATGGAATTAAGTGATCTGTGGCTAAAAATGTTGATGCAATGATAATTTGCTCTGCTTTTTGCCCTTGCCTTCTAATCAGAAAAGTGACCCTCAAATTAATTTGAATGTTAAATTTGATCCAGGGTTGGAAACTTGCTAACTGTGAAATTTTACTGTATTTAGAATACCGTGCCTGATCTACACGTTACATACTGCTTCTGAGTTAAATGTCATCCAAATGTTGCCTTAGGAAGACAATAGTCTTGGTTTCATAGTAAGTAATGAACTGAAATTTAATACATTCTGAGAATGTTCTTCTGCCCTTCCCTTTTCTGTTTTTCATTTCCAACCCAAAGCTGTAAGTTATGGTCCCAGTGCAGGATCTAATGTTCTGTATATTCACATGTCCTTTTGGAGTCCTAACCTTCCTGACATGTGAGTGTGACCAAGCAGAGGCATCATACACCCGTCAGGACTTCACAGACACGTTAGAGAACAGGAAATGTGGAACAATGCTGATGTGCTGACTTTGCCAAACAGTTCTGCTCTTGGTAGTGCAAATCAGTCCACAGTGAAACAAGAATTATGTATTACAGGGGGTTGGACTGGATGATCTTTAGAAGTCCCTTCCAACCCAAACTGTTCTCTGTGAGACAATATCTGTATGTCCGACTTGTGTAGAGACCCAAGGAAACAGACATGATAGAATTGTGTTTGTTACTCTGTTTTCTTCACATTATGAAAACAGACTGGAAGTGTGGCAGCAGGCAGATGTGCTGCACAGCAGCCATCTTCTGCATTGCTCCCAAGAATTCTGTGGAGATGCTTGAAGCTATGAGTTATGACAGTCTTGCTATGTTAACACTGAGTTCCAGCATTTAGAATGAAGCAAGCAACGGGGACCTGCAGCATCAGCTCCCCTCTTATAACTGACACTGGATCTACCTGGTGGCTCCAGAAACTCACACAGACACTAAGCTCAGAGCCAGCTCTGCTGAGAGCCACATCAGTCCATACCATGTTTAGTTTTCATTACCTGCTGCACTGCTGATTTAAACAAGTAGCAAACACTGTTTACTGAAC